GTCCTGCTTGGCTTAGTCAGTCACTGGCTCTGGGGACTGATCCCACCACCATCCCGGGGAAGGCTGACCCTGTTTGGGGGAGAGGGAGTTGGACCACTTTTCTTGAGAGCCTGGAGGCTGAGCTGGTCAGAGGGTGGGTGCTCCGGGGCGCAGTGTATGACACCGACCAGTGGGAGTCACTGTCACTGCAAGGGGACTATGTTGCCCCAGGGAGCTGACAGTGACTGTCACAGCAGGGCCTTCTCTGAGTCTGATCATAGCAAGAGGACAGGACATACCTGTATCTCAGCTTCCAAAGTGAAACCAGCTGGGGCCACCGGCATGTGCAATGCTGTTGCGTCGCAGGGCGTGCCGGGTGAGTTCCGCAGGCCATGCCATGCCTCGGGTGTGACCTTCCCCGACACACGGAGTGATGTCTGAGGTGTGGGCATCACACAATTAAGGTGTCTCAATACTGGCAACCCCAAGCGATGCTCTGAGCCGCGGCTGCGGCAGGAATGCGCCGGCTCCAGCGGATGGGCCCCGTTTTCCGCCGAAACGAGCCTCCAGTGCTGACCTCTCGCTTTTACCTCCCGCCCCTCCCCTCAAGGTCGGCCTCCGGCAGCTGGACATGTCCTTGCTCTGCCAGCTCTACAGCCTCTACGAGTCCATTCAGGAGTACAAGGGGGCGTGCCAGGCCGCGGCCAGCCCCGACGGCGCCTACGCCCTGGAGAACGGCTTCTTCGAGGAGGAAGAGGAGTTCTTCCCGGAGCAGAGCTCCCGCCTGGGCGGGAGGGATCGAGGCCCCCCGCGGGACCCGGCGCTGCTCACCTCCCCGCTCTCCAGCAGCGACTGGATCCTGGACTCCATCTAGGGGGCCCCCGGAGGGAGGCGCTCGCTCCCCACACACGGCCAGCAGTTGCTTCTCTTGCAAGGAGGCGCCTCTGCTCCTGCATTGGGGCCTGTCCCCGGCCACGAGGGACCAGTGCGCCAGTTCTGTCGGCAGCGAGCTCTCCATGGATGCCTGGCGGCCGTCTGCTTTGATGGCCGAGTTTCTGCCTAGGTGATTCGGAGGCGCTCAGCAGGGTCTTTGACACCCTGGGACCGAGGCACTCCTGCCAGGACTCAGAGTGAGAATGTGACAACCAGGATCCCAGGGAAGATCCTCGGTGGTTTCCTGCGAGAGGACTCCCAGCTGGTTACCGGTTACTTCCCGACGGGTGGTAGCTGGGCTGCGCCCTCCGCTGAACCCGGGGTTTGCCCCTGGTTTGCGACGGGCTGGAACCAGCACCTCCCTGCTCCCTTCCTCGGCGCCTTCGGCAGCCTCTCCTGCTGCTTCGTGAGCTTTCTGAGCCTCTCGGTTGAGCTTTATTTATTTGTAAGCTGCGTTACTAACCGTCGGGGCGACTCAGTGAGAGCTTGTTACTGAAAAAGTAAATGTTGCAGGTCACACCAATCACTGCATCCTCTTGTCAAAATTCACATACTCTGCCCATCGGCTGCAGGAGGAGGGAAGAGAGTGCCGAGGGGGGAACCGGGCAGGCTCCCGTCTCAGGTCATCGCTGGCGGGTGGCAGCCGGTTTTGTTTGGAAAGATTCTGAATGTTAACTAGTATGTTAGAAAGGGAACCCCCTTCACTCAGAACAGCCATCACCTGAAGCCTTAATATATTTATTAAAATCCTTTATGAACACTTTACACTTTGTAGGTTAAACATGAGCATAAAATGTTGAACTCTGTCTGGGGTTGTGTGTTATTTTGGTCTGAATTCAGAATCATCAGCTTTCATCACTGGGTTGCATTGAGTCTAATCAAATATGGAAAGAAAATTACAGTTTTCTTGTCATGGGGAATTTGAAAGAAGCTTCCTCTGTTGGCTTCTTGGACATGCTGTATCCGCCATGGTCTCAGGGCTGTTCGGCCTTTACTACCCCAGGCCCTGTGCTCTTCTCCCATTTGGTGCGATAATTGCTTATTGGCATCTCTTTCGGGTCAGAGAGGACGTGGAACTCGTCCTCAGGAACCGGCAAGTTGGCAGCCTGCTGTGTACGCGGCCCTGCGCCAGGAACTGGGCCTTGGTGCAGAGGAGGAAGCGCATCCTGCTTATTTCCTGTGTTGAAAGGAGCAGCTAAGTGAGGGGTGGCTTCAGCGTGGGACATACTGTTCAGCGGGGACGAGAAATTGAAAGTGCTAAGACCAGGGCAAGTCTCGTCATCTATAGAAGGCTGTTCCTTTGAGGCTGGGCCCCCACCTAAGGATAAGTTGAGCCTTAGGTCAGCTGTTCTGAATGCTGACCACGTTAGAATCACTGGGGATCTTTTAGAAAAATCCTGAGCCTGGCTTGGGACCCCCAGCCTAGTTCTGATGTTGTTCAGTAAAGGGTGAGGCCTGGGCGTGGGTCTGGTTACAGAAGCCCCCAGGTGGTTCTAATGCAGAACTAGTTGAGAGCTAGTGTTCAAAACGTGGTCCATGGATCACGCAGCCCGGAAACATGCTAGAGAGGCCCCCAGACCTACTGAATCCGGCCTTTGTCTAATGAGATGCACTGATGAGTCTCATGCGTGAAACACGGCTTTATGTCAGCCCAGCGCCGACACCGCTACCCTGAGGGCTACAGAATCTACCAGCATGAAAGAATAGCCTGGCCAGGCCTGGCCCCTGCTCCCAGCCCCCAGGATGGCCATGACACCCAGTCCTCTGGGATCGAGCTCACAGTGGCTGGTGTGGAGCTTGCCGCTGGCTCAGGCTGGGGGGGCTCTGGTTCAGAGTGTGTCCTTCCCCTGGTCGGTGCCTCTGGCTCTTCTGGAACCGCCGTGATTCACAGTTAGTGCCTTGGCTTCCTGGGCTCTCCTCCCGTTACTGCGGGATAGTCCATCAGAGTCAGAAGTGGAGGGATCGAGGTGTGCGAGGGGCGGTGCAAACAGGCCGAGCTCGGATGGAGAAGTGGCACATGTGCATAAACCATCGCGGGTTTTAACGCTGCGCTGGAGATGATGTCTATAAATCACCCCAAACTTCCTCTTACTCCTAACATGGTGTACTGTTGTAAATACAGCTTGACAAGGAATATTAACATTTACCAAATCGTAAAATGTTTTCTAATCCACACTCCCTGCAGAGGTTCCACGGATGATTAGAAAATAAATTCAGCTGGTGTCCCTTATTGCCACATGGCATAAATCATTGCCTTTAGGTTGAGGGTGGGACTGGCTTGCTCCTCAGTGGCCAGAAGAACACCTGCTAGGGTGTCCAGCATTAGCTGTCAAAGGCTGGAGAAACCAGGCTCTACTCTGTCAAGCAACATCCATGGTAGTTAAAGAAAAGCCCCTTTAGCTTTCTAGTAGTTAACCAACCTGTAATCAGGAGTGATGTCATTCGTTCAAATAACACTCATTTAGTGTTTTCCTGGGTCACATTGAGCCAGGCACCAAGAACACACTATGGGTCACATGAAGAGCGCCTACAGATTTAACAGGTCCCCAAACACCTAATGCATGAGATTAAGCACCGTGGGCTACTGAGGCCTCAAGGGAAACGCAGCAGATACTTGGGCATGTTGGTGGAGGAAACATCTGCACTGGCTTGAAGGTAAGTTCTTCATGAGGAAAGGAATGAACGCAGGTGGAATGTCATAAAGTCTCCAAAAACTTTTGTGTGTAGTGTTGTGTGCTTTCATAAAATACCTTTCACTTCTGTAATAAAACAGGGTAAGTGGCTTGCCGAAGGCTGTGGCTGGAAGACAGCAGAGCTGGCATCTCAGATGCACAGTGGGTGCTGGCAAAATGTCAAATCTCAGCATGGGGCTTCATTATTTAATGATTCATTGTGTAGCTTTTTTTTTTTTTAATTGGATCTTGGTCTGATTTCTATGTCACAGGCCCAATTTCATCCAGAGCCTATGATTATAAACATCTGGCAGGTGTAATGGTGATGGGAGGCTCTATGGCCACCGTCACTTCACGGTAGGCAAGCTGGCTGTTCAGCTTCATCTTTCTGCCTGAAGAAACTTACTGATTATAGAGCCCGAGCACATCCAGTCTTCTTGTCTTCGTGAAAAATTGTATTGTCAGTTCAGAGATTTGTAAGAGCCCCTTCTGCGTGGAGGTGGGAGAGTTTAGGTGGGAAGATGATGTTGGAGGTTGCACCTGAAGGGCAGCTGACACCTGCTGGATCAGAGTTTCATGGGTGAAAATGCTACCGGAGTGTGTGGGCCTCTCGACCACCTCGTATGGGCTTTGGAGAAAGTGTCAACAGGCCACCTGATGCCTCTGTTCTAACCAGCTGTGAAAAGAGTGCATGACCTTTCACTTCTCTGGCCACTGGTCATCTGAGGACAGGCCCTTAGATATCCAGTTTCCTGCCTGATTCTCAGACCCACTGAAGAACTTGCACAAGCAAACTTAGTATCTACAGAATGTTGAGTAAACGTTTATTACATACACTAACAAAGCAATATTAGCAAAATAAAAGCACAAGGCAACAGTAGGGCAGAATTATAGCCCTGGAGAGGCAGACACCTGAGAGAGGAGAGGACAGGGCAATGCCAACCTCAGACAGAAGCTCCAGGACCTCCTCTCCCTGCTTCCCATTTTATCTCCAAGACAGAGCAACTTTAATGAAAGTAAGTGATGGGTGAGAATGGGGCCTCAGGAACACAAAACCACTGCTACTGGGAAGGCTGATTTTGGTGGGAGGAGCACATGCATTAGAAATAGACGTGGTGAAAGCCACAGTCACCTGGCAGCCTGAGAGGATGTCCCAATTCCCTTCTGAGGGCGCAGCCTGCGAGGTTAGGACTCAGCTCAGCCCTGTTCTGGGACTTAGGTAAGAGAGCGCCTTACCCTTCCTTCATTCCTCTGCTATCAGGATGGTAAGACGCCAGAGGGGCTCAGGGAGGAAGAGTGAAAGACATTTAAGATGCTTCTAGAGTGTCAGTTGGGTTAGAGATGAGAAAACTGAAGTTCCCAAGTCCAGCACAATGGTGGGAAAGTCGTGGGCCTTTGCAGTTGAAGGGCAGCTGGCAGTGGAGCCCACTGGTGTGTCTGAAGCATAGACTCCTCAGGGATGGAGATGAGTTTGGAGAGTGAGGAGGGCGCCCCCACCAGGCTCGGCTGTTAGTTTATCAGCCGCATACCTTGGCCAGCAGCGCTCCCCACTGGGCTGGGTCCTCTATGGGGCTGGTCCCCATCTGCCTTTCTGGCAGATACTAGGGAAGACAAGTTCAACTTAATACCCCTGAAGTCACACCCCATGTGGCTTCTCTCAACCAGTTTCTGTTGGACACGCACTAATGTCTGTCTCCTGATCAAGAACCTACGCAGGCTCAGGCACTCAGACTGAAGCATTTCACTGTGCTGACCCTCAACTGCAAGAGGCCCAGCTGAAGGCCTGGAAGTCGACTTTCCCTCCCCTCCCCT